CGCAAAAAAAAAAAAAAAAAAAAAAGATAACCAGTTGTTTTCTTATTATTTAAAACATCAGACAAGCAAAGGTGACATCATGAGACAAGATCTCTAGTTGACTAGGAAGCTCCTTAAAATTGTTAAAGAGTTTACTGTTCATGAAATTTAGCTGTAAATCCACATCTTTAGCCTTTCCTCCACTGCTTCTCCAAGCAGATCAAGTAGAGTACATCCAACCCAGCCCCTTCCTGTCCCTTAGGCAGATAGATTATAGACTGTAAGAATACAATGCATATTAGCTGCTCTCTATCAAGAGTAGAATTAGGTCCAATAAACTTTCCTGTCTCCAAATAATACTCTTAAAAGTGAAAAAAATTTCCTCCAAAGAAAGAGCATAGAAGCAAACAAAAGTTCTGAAATTGTAATAATTATTCTCTTTCACACTTACTCAGTTTATTCAGGTAATACTTTTAACTTTATTTATTTATTTATCTTAATTTGATCAGAGAGGACAGAGTGAGAGAGAGTAAAAGTGAGAAAGCAAGGTCTGGGACTCGAACTGTGGCCAGCCATGTGGGATTCTAGCACCCCTAACCACCATGCCACTATGACCCCTATTCAGGTAATACTTTTAAATAGTTATGCTTAAACTTTCACTAGGTCTTGTGTGAATTCTGAAGTTTCACGGATATATATCATAGTTATAACGTTCTTTTAGAACAGGACATTCATATAGGCTTTTTGCTAATAACATAGGAACAAGATGGCCATAAAATAATTTCTTTTCCAGGACTAATAGGTAGCATGGTGGTTAAGGCACTGGACTCCGCCATGGCCAACCATGGCTTGAGTCTTTGGCCTGGGAGCTTGCTCTCTTTCTCTCTCCCTCATACATGACCTAATAATTACAATAATAATAATAATATACAATAATAATAATAATAATAAAATTCAGTGAATAATTATTTTTAAAAATTTATTTTTTAATTAAGACTTTTCTTGCAACAGTGAAAAGTAAATCTTTGACAAAATTTTGAATATTCACAGACATGTACATAGAAACAAGGTATTTGGGCACAATGACTAAAACAGATATCAAGGCCCTCTACAGTTTATACAAAGACTTTGAAAAAGTTCACAGAAAATATGTATCATGAAAAAACTATGTATGCATTTCAACTTTTATTTTTTGATGCCAAAATATACTCCACTTTTTTCCAATTTCATTTTTCCACTAACTGTTTGAAGTTCCCTCAGATAACAGGTGCTATGGCAGGAGGTCTTATTCTCACCATGACTACCGTTATTTCACTATATTTAGGACATGAGTTGTCAACCTAGAAACATCTTAATTCTTTGGAGAGAAAGGAAGATTATATCATCATACAGTATCCAAAACAGATTTTAAAACTATAATTATGAGTTAGAAGAAATCGTTACAAATACAGCATTTTGTGCTAAGAACTCATCATGGTATAGAACTCATAATTACCATTGAGAGAAAAATCATATATTTATATAACAAATGATAGAGCAGGACTTAGTTATGCCTTTATATGGATATCATACATATAATCCTAATCCTTGGTTAATATTCTCTTCAGAAGTGAATTAAGGGAATGTATGGTAAATGTATAACATATTTAGCCTCAGTGCTAGGGAAATGATAAGAATAAAACTGCTAGATAAATGTTAACACCTAATTGACTTGGAAATTAGTTTGAACATAAATCCTTAGCAGGCAGTTGTTATGTGAAATGAGTTTAATGCCGTGGTTCTTTATTTATTTTTCTTTTGGAGAGGTTTTTGCTATAGAGCGCGTGTGCTCACCAGAAAGACAGAGAGACAGAGAGAGAGAAAGTGAGAAATCAACCCCCCAGGGGAGATGGCCACGCCGCAATCCCTTCTCCTCTATTCTTCTCTTGGGATTTTTGGGCACGCACTCACACACACCAGAGTGAGTTTAAGCCTCTGGGTCCAGGACTCGAACCACGGTCAACTACATGGGAATCCAGTGACATAGCCATTATGCTAACTGCTGGTCCCAGTACCATGGTTCTTAAAATTGAGTATGTATTATAATCACCCAGAGGGTTTGCAAAACTCATTACTATGCTGCTCCAGTAATTTACTTGGTTTGTGGTGGAATCTGAGAGTCTGCATGGACACCAAGTTCCCTGATGCTGCTGCTGAATAGAGGCCACATACTGAGAACCACTGGAACAATACATGCATTTAATACTGATATTTTTTCCTGTTCAGCATGCAAACTTCAGACTTGTTTAAAATATATGACACAGGTTCAAAACACTATAACTTATTAAACATAGGGAAATTATTTGTTGCTGGTAAGTTTATAATAAAACTTAGATCTCTTGGGGTCAGCAATATGGTATAACTGTTACATTACTGGACTCCATATGGTTGATTATGGTTTGAGTCCTAGACCTGGCAGCTTAAAACTCGCACTGGCCATATGTGCATGAGTGCCCAGAATCCTGAGAGAAGAATGGAGGAGAAGGAATTTCTGAGTGGCCATCCTCCCGGAGGGTGATTTCTTGCTTTCTGTCTCTCCTGTCTCTCTGGCAAGTGCATGTGGCCCACAGCAAAAATCACTCTTAAACTAACAAGAACCTTATATTTCTTTTCTAGACATAATAAATATTTGGTTAATATGTGTTTCTTTTCATTTATTCAAATTAAATAATAATTAGGTCCTTAGATTAGGATTCCACACAAGGGAAACTATTTGGAGGTAACTTATTGGCAAGAAGATAATCAGTATATTTCAGACCAATTGCAATGTAAAATGTAGGTATTCACTTACCTGTACGTGTAAGGACCTCTTTGCTTAACCTTTATGTTGCTGCTGTTGACTATCACTTCCTGTGGATTTTGTACATCAAAGATCCAGAACTGTCTGTAAACTTCTGTGCCTGTTTTAACCCAATTTTGAAAAGCAATGGTACCTTCCTCAAGGACAGCTTCCTATGACAAAGAAAAGTTTGGGTTATTTCTTTGTGGTAAATACAGGTACTTGATTTCTCAAGAGACATTGCTTTTGTTTTTTAATAATCTTGAGTAATCCAGGATGAAGGTCCAAGCTCAGGTATCTTGTTCATAACATCTGCAATATCTGGACTTGAGACAGAAATGTTCTCAATGTGTCATAGCAACCTCTCTTAGTCTTGGACAAAGAGAATCAGTGTGTAATACTGAAGACATAGATTTGATTTTAAGACAAATCATTGGCAAACTTTAGAGTGACCCTATGGCAATATTGGAACCGTTTATAACATAACTCATTCAGCAAATTTCATTAAAGTTGTTCCAGACAAGTTCTTACCAATTTGATCGTCAACTTCTCTTCTGCCTCTAAGGGAGTTGGACTGATGAGGCAAAACAGAGAAGTGAAAGAAAAATCTAGTACTATAATTTTAGAAGCTTTTTTCTTTTCTTCACAAGCTAGATATTTCAAGGGATAATGCTGTTTATTAAGAAAATAAATAATTTCGTGTAAAAAACCACAAATCTGAGTTCTACTCTTCAAAATCCTGCTCAATATGGCCTCCCTATTCCCAGTATATTTACAGCCCCTCATTATTACATGCTTCCAAAAAAGTACAAGAGCCCAATTCATCACAATTGGGTTCCTACTTTTTAAAGAAAAGAGCAAGATAAGGAAGTATTCTAGTTTTCCTATGTGAAGTCCATTAAAAATCACCAATGCCCACTGTACTCAAAATAGAAGAGTGAAAATATATACCTATGACAAAAGCCAAAAACAAACAAACAAACAAACAAAAAGCTCTGTATTAGAAATTTGGTTTCTCACATTACGAACTTTGGGACCAAATATAAAGTCACCGAACCCTTCAAAGTTTATTGCATTCTCTTTAAAATGAGGCAGTTACCACAGACGCATTCCCAGTTTCCTTTCAGGGCTTTGCTCACTGAGCAAGAAGTCAACAAAGCCATAGTAACTAGTGCAAACAAAGGTGGTATTGTAATAGGCAGTATTTCCAATTAGGGACCTTGGGAAGAATGCCCGGGTCAGAGAGCACTAGCTTACTTTACTGTGTTAAAGGAAGAGGAAGAAAACTATTTCACAGAAAACGAACCTCTAGAGACACATGAAGATAGAAACAATCTGATCTGTTTCCTTCACCTGGAAGCATCTTTCCTAGAAGAATGGATCTGGAAAGCACAGGGGACATTATCACCTGTGCTAGTACGAGAGCAGCAGAGGCACTGAGAAACCAGGTGGCTGGCCCAGGGGAAAGCTAGGCAAATGGTAATGGGGTCATGACAAAAATCCTGGTCTCTGACCCCTACTCTCTCCCTTTACCACATATTATTTCTGTCTTCTTTTCTTTAATGTCACTCTCTGCATTTAGTAGATGCCAAACTGAGTTTTGTATCTTCCAGATAGTTTACATATTGCTTAATGCAGAGAATAAGGGAATTTCTTAAAGAACTGGGCATGCTGTTAAAGGGCAATTACAAAATTTTGTGCTGTTGCAATCCATTTAGACGGGGTATGTGGGAACTCTGAAAGTGATGTTCCAATCTCTACTGCTTTTTACAACAAATTTTCTGTGGAAAACTTTTTACTTCTTAATCACCATGCCACCTGTTGTTCTTCCGGTATTTTGGGCACACACACACACACACACACACACACACACACAGACATGGGCACCCTGGTTTTTTTTTGTTTTTTTTTCAAGCCACCAGTTCTGGGACTTGAACTACACAGTCAGCCATGTGAAATAACAGCCACTTTAACCACCATGTCATCAGTTGGCCCTCAAGAGACTTAATGAAGACAGAATATATTTACAACACACGCATATTCTCACACTGTAAGAATCTTATGGCCTAATGCAACATCTGTAGCACCCTGTTTTTTTTTTGTTTTTTTTTCAAGCCACCAGTTCTGGGACTTGAACTACACAGTCAGCCATGTGAAATAACAGCCACTTTAACCACCATGTCATCAGTTGGCCCTCAAGAGACTTAATGAAGACAGAATATATTTACAACACACGCATATTCTCACACTGTAAGAATCTTATGGCCTAATGCAACATCTGTAATTTATCAGGTTTCTCTCAAGGTACATATTTTATTTCAGTTCCTTTTTTTTAATTTTTCTGTTTATTTCTTCCATGAGTGAGAGAAATAGAGATAGAGCACCTCTTACAGAGATGACACAGCAACCCATTGCCAGCCACCCCTAGATTATGGCTATGCATATGCCCAGCACACTCAGGTAGTTCTCCAGAGAAATCTGAAACTTTCCTACATGGGTCAGTCTTGCAGAGTATGGTGTTTTATCATCTGAATACTTCTTAAGTTCTTTTTTGCTTTTTCTAGAGAGAGATTTTTGCTATAGGGCACATCCACTCACTGGAGAAACAGCGACAGAAAGACAGAAAATGAGAAATCACCATCCACGGGGATGGCCATGCTGTAATCCCTCTCCTCCATTCTCCCCTTGGGATCTTTGGCATGGATGCACATGCCCTTGGTGTGTTTCAAGTTGCTAGGTCCAGGACTCAAACTGCAGTCGACTATGTGGGAGACCAGTGATGTAACTATTACACCACCTGCTGGTCCCCTTCAGTTCTTAAAGTACACTATATATTTATATAGAATTGAAAGGAACTGTGCCAAAATGTGCTTGACAGGACAGAACATCTCCCTAACTCATACATGTGCATGTAAATATCAAAAATATTATGATTGTAACACACCTATTTTCTATAAAGCCATAAATCATTTTGCCTTATTTGTTGCTGGAAATGTTCTTTAACATGGAAAAATTGATTCTGAAAGAGTTGAAATAAGCACATTGAATTATCAGCTGTTAGAATTAGGAACTAGATGGTCCTAAACCAACCCCATCCAATTTTTTCAAAGATAGAAAATGACCCTAGGGAAAAAGATGCCTGATTCAATGTTATAGGCCAGCTTAGTAACAGATAATGGAGAAATCAGGTCTTTTTACTTCGCTCTTGTGTAGTTTCCATGATTTTTTCAGAGACAAAGATAAACATATTGAAGTAGTCAAAATAAGAATACAATTCTTGGGGACAGTAAGTGCCATGGTTGTTAAGATGCTGGACTTCCACATGACTGACGGTGTTTGGAATCCTAGACCTGGTAGCTTGAAAATCACGCAGGGTATGTTACATGTGTGCCCAAATCCCTTTGAGGGAAATGAAGGAGAAGGGATTGTGACCTGGCCATTACCCTTGGTGGAGTGGGGCGATTTCTCACTTTCCTCTCACTGTCTCTCTCTTACTCCCTCTAGTGAGTACACTTGCCCTATGACAGAAAAAAAAAAATCTTCTGATACCAACACTACTATATGTATTACAAAATTGGATAGCCAATAGCCACTCCTCAACTCCATAGATAAATATATCACAAGCTCCTTTGCTTTTCAAAGGAGCAAAAGATATTATATCCTTTGTGAATTTAAAAGGGGTTGATTTCAAATTGGATTGAAATAGCTAGCATATATTGCAAATCTTTAAGTAAATGTGAAGTATAAAGCTGATGGTATGCACACAGAAAAAGAAATATATTTTAGGAACCTCTCTTAGCTAATGTGTACATCAGTATTTGATCCTGATGCAACCTGTGTAACCCAACTGAATTCCATCTGCTGACTCTCACATAGCCTGGTTCCCAGTTGGGATGTAAGTCATTAACCTTGAAACTTCTATTCTGCAATATCAATTTAAAAAATAGATGTTTGGGACAGTAATATCTTCTATATGGTTACATACGCACTTGATTATTGCTGTTGCATGAAAACAGTACTCATCTGTGTGACTGACAGTTTAGCATAATTATCAAAATGCCCTTAATACGTTCCTATGCATGGAGTTGGTAGAATTCAAATAGTAGTAACTCATGTTGTTTCATTTCTCAAGGACTTTATACTAAGAGGATCACATACAGCAGATGTAAATCTAGGAGTCAGATTCCCTTATCCTATCCCCACTCCGACAAAGTAAAGAGGCTCCTTCTCTCAAAGCATAGAACCAATAGGTTCACAAAAAACTTAAGGTGATGGGACCAGCAGTTAGCGTAATGGCGATGTTGCTGAACTCCCATGTTGTCGACTGCGGGTCACGTCCCAGACCCGGTGGCTTGAAACTCATGCCAGGTGCGTGTGTGTGCGTGCCCAAGATCCCGAGATGAGAATGGAGGAGAAGGGATTGCGGTGTGGCCATCCCTCCTGGGGGGTGATTTCCTGCTTTCTGTCTCTCTGACTCTCCATCTCTCTCTGTCTGTCTGGTGAGCACATGCGCCCTGTAGCAAAAACCTCTCCAAAAAAAAAAAAAAGAAACCTTAAGGTGGTTATTTAACTTTTTTGCACCTCAGTTTCCTCATCTGTAAAATGAGAATAATCATACTATTAAGCCAAACTACATGAACTTAGTATTTTTTAAAATAAAAAAGTTGAATACCAGCATTTTCATGTTTCATTTCATATGGTTTAATTAAATATGTACTTTCGTAGGTGGTTATGAGGACTAAGGAATGTAAGCACTTTGAATAATATTAGCATACAGCAGACTTCAATGTTAGCTATTGGTATCAGGCAAATCATGTCCACCCTTTAGAACTCTATCATTTGCCCCCCATAGTGCTTTAAACGCTTAGCTCATTGTATCTGCTATCTACGTCAGTCCTGTGCCAATGACTCCATGTAATACCCTGCAGCACTTCTTTTCCTGCTATTTAATAATTTTACATTTACTGTCTCTCCAGTAAAACTTCAAAGGCAGAAGTATATCAGGAATAGCATCCCCGTCCACACCCACTACTACAATGTGCTTGTTAACTGGTCTGAAACAGAACAGTGTCCCCATGTACATAAATTCTCATATGGTTATGCATTGTGTCTGTGCACACTGAGAAACAAAAGAATCAGGATCTTAGTGAAAGTTGTGTGGATTCTCCAGTCA